TAGATCTGAAATGAAGCATTTTTTCCGGTTTATGTCCACCAATCACCGCTTGCTCTAGGAGCATCAAAGGCGTATAAATCCTGCTGTAGCAGCAAATGTTTGATCTAGAAGATGTTCATATGTAGATCATAGATCTGCATGGACTAGATGTTGGAGTCAGATTCTGGTTTGGAGAATCTGACCTCTGCTTCATTCAGGGGTGGGTGTCTTGCAGATGTTCTTCAGTTTTGAGGACAGACAGGAAGTGGACCAGTGATGTCACATGTGCAGAATGTGAACCCCTCCTCCTCTTCCTCACCCTCCTCCTCCTCTTCCTCACCCTCCTCCTCCTCCTTTTCCCAGTTGTATGTTTTCTCACATTTCTGGGAGGCCTCTGGATTCTGCTCTCCTCCACCAGATGACCAGAGGTCTGCGCTCCTCCCTCTTCCTTTCCCCCCTTCATCCCTCCATCCTTGCAGTCTTAGGGACAGTCTGTGGTCAGCTGCAGCTCCTCTTCCTCCTGATGAAGCCATCATCCTCCCGCTGCCCTCCACTCTCCGCCTCACAGTGTCTGTGTTTGTTTGTTGGTTTGAGGGAAAAAGAGAAAAAGGCTGAGATGAAGAATGTTGGGCTGTTTATCGTCTTCTTTTGCGGAAGGTAAGCTCCTACAAAAAGCTTCATCTGAGATTTTCTGCAACAAATCTTAGAGATTTTAGGAATTAAATACGATTTTTAAGCATTGAATGTTTAAAATGTTCCATCCAGGTTTAATGGAAATGTTGAAATCAAACATTTCTTGTTTTTTGGGGGGGAAAAGGAAGATTAAAAAACATTTTATAACTAGGAAATTGCTAATTTTGAAGCTTTTTAGGAACAGAAAGAGTCTGAGAGGAATGAGTGTTTAAATGTGACAGAGAGTCGCTGCAGAGACTGAAACCACATGTTGAACCTAAGAGGGGGCGAGGAGGGCCGTGTGAAGGTTTGGAGTGGAGGCAGGAGGCGGGATCTGCAGCGCTGTGTGTGTGTGTGTGTGTGTGTGTGTGTGTGTGCTCACATTCCTGGGGGACAGGAGGAATGGGGAGATGAAGGTGTTTATGTGAGCATGTGTTTGTGTGGGTGTTACAGAGAGGGTCACATTTTTCCAGTGAAGGGACCCCGCAGCCCTCCAGATCCCATCTGAGGGACTTTTATTCTGACATCCGGCCTGAGGATGAAGCCAACTCCCTCCTCCTCATCCTCAGCTGTGCTGCTGTTCACCACAGACAAAAGGAATCTTTCACAGGATGTTTTCCTCATGAAGCTTGATGGGAGTTTTATTTCTAATCCTGCAGATCAGCTTCACTTCCTTATGAATGATGAAAAATAAGCACAGAGTGAGAACTGGATGTAAAAATACCAGATTCTGCTACCAGCAGATGTTTACAGCATCCGTCCCTCCATCCAGCTGTGGGGAGAGATGGTGTTCATGGAGCAAAGAGCTTCCAGGCCACAGTGGCGTTTAGGGCCGCTCTCCTGCAGGTTTTACAGGTTTCTCTGCTGATGCGTGTCAGAACTACGGAACAGCGGCGTGCTTCTAAGGCACCGCCCTGCTTTACATCAATCCTGATTCATACAGAAGACAGCAAATAAAAAGTTGGTTACCTTTGCTGCGGTTTTCAGCAATAAGTTGGGGAGGGGCAGCACTGTATTAATAAAGTATCACTCCACAGGTTCAGGATGAAGGAGAACTTTGGCAGCAGAGACTCAGGAGGGAAATAAAGCGCAGCCAGAACCGCCTCACTCTGCAGGAATAAAGCGCCTAATAGATTCTTATTTATTTTAGTCTTATTTATTTATGTCTTTACTTAGAGAGAGTTTGGTTTTTGCAAAACACTTTAAAGTTCAGCTTCCCTCTGCGGTCTGATTTCTGGATGTTTCCTTACGGTTTATGAGGATCAGTGCCTCCAGTCTGGTGTGTGAGTTAGATGTAATCCTCAGAGCTAATAATCCCTGGATTTAATGGACTGGCTCTGTTTACACTGGGACTCAACCACAGACTCACTGGGAAGCTGAACTGGGCCGGCACAGATTGCTGGAGTTTATCTCAGCTCTGCTGGACTTCTGGGCCAGAAAACCAAAAACTGTTTAAAGTCTTCAGAAATCTGACGCTGCATCATCTGAAAGTCATTTTAATCTGCAGAACTTTCTCTCTCTGTTTATTTAATTACTTATTTTTCAGCTATTAATAAAGAACAAATAATTGAATCTATCGATTTACCGTCATCCTTTACATTTTCAGCTTTGAAATATTTGAACAAATAAAAAACTTTTGCTGAACCACAGATTTCACAGCAGATCGAATGAGTATTTCTGTATGTTTTTCTGTCCTGATGTCCTTTTTGCTTTGATTGATTGCAAAGATGGATGATTAAAACCTGATGAGAGTGAATGTTATGATCACAATTAGAGATGAAGATGAAGACTTTAGTGAAAATTGATTTTGTTCTCTGCATATTTGTTAAAACTATGGAAGCTTGTTTCTGCCACTTTCATTAAAGGTATTATGGAGAATTTTTTAAAAGACCCGCCCTCTCCGTTTAAAAAATATGCATCCAAGAGTTGTTTAAAATGTGCTGTTCTCATATCTACTATGAGAACTGTAGTGTGTCCACATACAGCGGGGACTTTATAGTGAACTCAGTTAACTGACCGTTCAGACAGATGATCACTGCTTTTCTGGGTGGATCATCTCAATCAGTCGTCCTCCTAACTGTCAATCATTCTGGTGATACGTGCTCGTACCGTTAGCTAGCTTTTTCTGCGCACTTTCAGGCGTTCAGACAGTCATTGAAGCTCACCTTTCTCACAGCGGTTCTTTAAAAATGGCCGAGAGTCGGAAGAGAAAATGTGTCTACGAAGTTTATGAGAAGAAAAGAAAGGCCTCAGAAGAGGCAGATATATCCCAGAATGCTTTGCATGGAGAGCTCTCCATGCAAAGCATTATGCGATTTGCTATCATAGCGGGTCGCTGTCACTACTCTACAGCGGCTAATAACAAAGATGGCGCAGGAACCGCCTAACCCTAACAGAGCAAAAAGCAGTGATCATCTATCTGAACTGTCAGTTAACTGAGTTCACTATAAAGTTCACTATATAGTTCCTGCTGTATGGGACACAGGAAGCTGTGAG